GTTGCTTTCCTAAAAGCTCGTGCTAATGCCACACACGGTGGGGTTTGTGTCTTAGGCATTCTCCTCTTGGAACCCAACCCAGCTGGCCTCCCCTCATTATTGCCTTTCTCCCTTATTATATTTTGCCTTCACTCAATATGTGTCTGCCTTCTAGTTAGTGATTTTCCTCCCTTCCCCTCCCACCCCTGGTAACCTTTAAAGAATGTTTCTTTCCGTGAATAAACCTTTTCTTGACTTTCTTACAGTAGTGGTCTCATAAATTTTTTTTGTGATTGACCATTTCACTCAGCATAATGTCCTCCAGGTTCACCCATGTTATGACGTGTTTCACAGATTCATTGTCACTCGTTAATGTTGCATAATATTCCACTGTGTGTACCATAGTTTATTTATCCTTTCATGCATTGATGGACTCTTAGGCTGTTTCTACCTTTTTGCTATTGTGAATAATGCTGCTGTGGACATGGATGTGCATATATCTGTTCATGGGTGTCATGGATCTCTTTTCTCTAAGATATATACCTAATAGTAGGATTGCTGTATCATATGGTATTTCTATTTCCAACTTCTTAAGGAAGCACCATACTATTTTCCACACTGGTCCCACCAGCAATGTATAAGGGATCCAGTCTCTCCCTTACCAGCATTTGTTGTTTTCTGTTTCTTTGAACTTTGCTGTTAATGCTGTGGTAAGATGTTACCTCATTGTTGCCTTGATTTGCATCTCTCTAAGGTGCAATGATGAGGCGTATTTCTTCATGTATTTATTGGCCACCTGGATGTCTCCTTTGGTGAAGTGCTTGTTCATGTCCTCTGCCTGTTTTTAATTGGATTATTTGTCTCTCTGTTGTTGAGGTGCTGAAGTTTCCTATAAATTTTAGAGATTAGTCCCTTATCCAATATGTCACTGCCAATTTTTTTTCCCCTAGACTGTAGGTTGTCTTTTTACTCTTTTGGTGAAGTCCCAGTTATCCAGTTATCCCTTTTATATGTTTATAAACATATAAAAGTTTAAATTTTAGGAAGTCCCAGTTATCCAGTTTGTCTTCTGCTATTTGTACATTTTTAAATTTTGTTTGATAGTGTAGTCATGCCATGTATTAGGGTCACTAAGTTTGCCCTTATTTTTTCTTTGATGATCTTTATGGTTTTAGGTTTTACCTTTAGGTTTTTGATCTGTCTTGAGTTAATATATTGTGTGAGGCTTGGATCCTATTTCATTTTACTGCAAATGGATATCCAGTTTTGCCAGCACCATTTGTTAAAGAGACTATCTCTTTCTCCATTTAATGGGTTTCTGCCCTTTGTCAAAAATCAGCTGTACATAGGTAGATGAATTTACTTCTGGGTTCTCAGTTATGTTCTATTGGCCTATGTGTCTGTCATTGTACCAGTTCAACATGAGAAAAAACTATTCACTATGTGAAACAGGCTGTTTTGACCACTAAGGCTGTGTAGTAGGTTTTGAGATCAGGGAATGTGAGGCCTCCTACTTTTTCCTTTTTCTTTAGTAATACTTTGCTTATTTGGGATCTCTTGCTTTTCCATATAAAATTGGTGATTGGTTTTCCCATCTCTTTAAGGAATGATGATGGGATCTGGATTGTGGTTGCATTATATCTGTAGATTGCCATGGTAGTTAAGGCTGTGTGTCAATTTGTCGGGGCCGTGGTTTTCAGTGGCTTGGCAGCTGGATATAATTATTCCCCCTGATGAGATTGTAATCACCTTCATGGTGGAATCTGCTCTGAGAAACAAATTAGTTGTCTTCAGGCTGTTTGTTAAGGCCACCCACTTGTGGTATTTCTGTTACAGCAGCACTAGAGAATCGAGACAATCACTTTGTGTAGTATTAACATTTTCACAACGTTAAGTCTTCCTATCCATGAACATGTACATTTTTCCATTTATGTAGGTCTCTTTTGGGCTCTCGTATTAGTGTTTTGTAGTTTTCTTTGTATAGGTCTTTTGTATCTCTGGTTAGATTTGTTCCTACGTACTTCATCTTTGGATGACCATTGTGATTTTTCTTCCCCTGATTTCCTTTTCAGAGCTCTGTTTGTTAGTGTGGAGGGATCCAACTGATTTTTGTATATTGATCTTATACTCTGCCAATTTGCTGAATCTTTCTCTAAGTTCCAGTAGTTTTCTTGTTGAGTCTCTGGGATTTTCTGTGTATCAAATCATATCACCTGCAGATAAAGATAGTTTTACTTCTTCTTTACCAATTTGGATACCTTTTTTTTTTTTTTTTTGCCTTTCTTGCCTATTTCTCTGGCTAGGACTTCCAATGTGATACTGAATAGAAGTGGTGATAAAGGACATCTTTCTCTGGTTCCCATTCACAAGGAGAATGCTTCAGTCTCTCTCCATGGAGAATAATGTTGGCCATTGGTTTTGTATATATATGCCCTTAGTTATGCTGAGGAATTTCTCTTCTGGTCCTATTTTGCTGGGTGTTCTTATCAAGTACAGGTATTAGATTTTGTCAAATGCCTTTTTTGCATCTCATGATATGATCCTGTGATGCTTTTTGTTTTGTTTATGAGGTAGATTACTCTTGTTTTTTCTCATGTTGAACCATCCTTACATACTTGGTATAAATCATACTTGGTCATGGTGTATTATATTTTTAAATATGTTGTTGGATTCTTCTGTTGGTTAGGATTTTGTTGAGAATTTCTGTGCCAATGTTCATGATGGATATTGATTTATAATTTTCTTTTTTAGTGGTGTCTTTGCCTGATTTTGGTATCAGAGTTCTGTTTGTTTCATAGAATGGATTTGCAAGCATTCCATTGTTTTTTATGTTCTGGAATAATTTGAGTATAATTGGTATCAGCTCTTCTCTGAATGTTTGGTAGAATTCGCCAGGGAAGCTTGCTGGCCCTGGCCTTGTTCTGACTAAATGATACTGAGCTTCTCCATCATCTCTTTCCATAGATGTATAAGTTTCCCCTGCTATCCAAAAGTAGAACGTTCCTATGTAACCTTTCATAAGCCTAAATGGCATAAAGCAAAGAAGCAATTACCATTAATTTACATATGAAAAGTTTTTGAGCATTCCTACCAAATTATACCAAATAACATACAAAATCTAAAATAACAGTAACATAGAGTGTTCACGGGCACAATTCAAAGCTATGATGGCTTGATGGTGTGGCACTGAGTGTAGTTCCCTGGGAAGGAGCTGGGTGATGCCACTCTCACTCAAGGTGAGTGCTGCAAAACAATGAAGTGCCTTCTTTCATGAAAAACGAAAATCCTCTGTTTAGCAACAACAGGTACTTATGTAGGTCTTTAATAAATGTAAAGTGACATAAAGCAAACTTTCTTTGAAAAGTGGGAGATACCTGTAGTCAGTGTAATTCCTGTGTACTCCATCTGGCAAAGTCCACCTGTATGTTCTCTCCTTTCGCTACTTACCTAGTGAATTTCCACACATCTTACAGCCCTCTGCTCAGACCTCACAGAACCTCTCCTCGCAGCATTGAGCACCCTTGTGTTGTTACATTTGTTTGTGTGATGATTTGACCAATGTGTATCTACCTCTCACTGGAGTACTAATATCAGATCATATCTGATATCTCCCCTGACCATTCTTTTATCCCCAGTACCTACTATAGTGCCTCACATAGAAAGTGCTCAGTAAATATTGAACTAAAAAGCAACTATTTTATCTCTCAGCACCTAGCACAGACTTGAATGCAAATCCAAAGTTTTAAAGGGCACAAACAGAGTAGTGGCACATGTTACCACAACTACACAGTATCTTCCAGTATCATTCCAAGACTTCAGCTAAAAAAAGGATTTAGTATTTATTGTCGTGGGGTAGGTAAGTCTAGTAGTCAAAAGTGGATGTTGTCTGTGCCATACCTATTTTTTTCAGTCGTTTTTTAAAAATAAATATCTCAAATGTTATTTAATTTCAGTATTCAATATCTTATCTCTTTAGTTATATCAAAATTGAGCTCCTTTGCATCTGTAGCCAGGATCTTAGCAGGTGTAATTCAAACATAGTGTTCAAACCTGTTCATCTTGAGATGGAGCTGGGTGGTGCACCCACTTAAGACTCGTGGCTGCTAACCAAAAGGTTGGGATTTGAGTCCACCCAGAGGCATCTTGGAAGAATAGTCCGGTGATCCACTTCCGACAAATCTGCCATCGGAAGCCCTACGGAGCACGGTTCTCCTCCAACACACATGGGGTCACCAAGAGTTGGGGTCAACTCAATGCCAACTATTTTTGGTTCATTCTGAGTTAGTCTAGAAATCAACCGGCAGGTACTAAATCCAAAATAGATGAGGGAACATGGGCCGCTCATAGCTTTAGGGTAAGAAATGGGAAGAAAAAGATACTGCATGACAACTGGAAAACTGAGAAAAACAAGAAATATGAAAAAGAAATTTGAATTGACCACATCTATTCTGATTAGACTACACTGGGTGTCTAAGAAAATTCTAAAAATTCAGAATGTAGATCAAATGCGTTCAGACAGTTATCTGAGAGGTTAGGGCCTTAAAGAGGAAGAATAGGCTTATTTATTTCCTCATGGAGAACCCACCAAAAAAAAAAAAAAAAAAGAGCCTAATTTTTTCCAGAGACTCCAGGCCAAAGCTACTCTGGGGGAGAAATACAAGGAGGAAGCAAGAAGTTAGATGTTAAAACTAGATTCTTAAAGTCTTGTCTATTTGTGGGAAAATTCACTTCAAAAGTCTGCAAGTCAAAGGAAGTCTTGTACTTCAAATGGTGGACTGAGTGTATAGTAACCTGGACTTCTCCAGTGGAGAGGTGGGGACTACTCTGTCCCTTGGGTGGTGGTAAGAACAGTGACAAATCTTTTGCCCTTTCCATTTATGGTTCCTTGGGCATTTTAACCATGCTTTGACCCCATAGTTTGCAGGCCAAAGAGCACCAGCAGGCCCAGCAGTGTCAGCAGTAATCCTGGGGCAGGGACCACTGCCGCCTTCTCACTGCGCCCTGTCATCTTCTCTCACCAGGAATCAGAAGGCGTTTCCTGCCACTACTGGTCGCTGTTTGATGGTCACGCGGGATCAGGGGCCGCCGTGGTTGCATCTCGACTGCTGCAGTACCACATCACACAGCAGCTGCAGGACATCGTGGAGATTCTCAAGAACTCTGCGGTCCTTCCCCCGACCTGCCTGGGGGAGGAGCCGGAGAACACACCCGCCAACAGCCGGACTCTGACGCGGGCCGCGTCCCTCCGTGGTGGGGTGGGAGCCCCGGGCTCCCCTAGCACGCCACCCACTCGCTTCTTTACGGAGAAAAAGATTCCACACGAGTGCCTAGTTATCGGGGCCCTTGAAAGTGCATTCAAGGAAATGGTAGGTATCTTTGAAGAGTGCAGGGCAGGAGGGGTGCTCACTCAAGCCAAATCCCTAACTTTTTGTAAGGCTCCCTGAATATGCATGGTTTCCGGCCCGTTTGTTTCAATGCACGTTCCACTCGGACTTGTTGCTTTTATAACATGGTTTCCATTTTCAGTAGAAGTCAGCAACAAAATGGAGTTCCTTGAATTGACTGTTGGCAAAAATTAAAAAGATGAAAGAGAAAATGCCTGAGGTGTAGTAGGCTTATTAAATGCATACGTTCTGGCTTCTCTTTTAACATAGTGGTATTGATGCCAGCCGGTAGAATTCCACTTAGTTGAGATGTGAACGTGTTTGCCATCTGTTTGATACGTGTGTCTGAATTCCAGATGTTTGGGGAAACTTAGCGTTTTAGTAAAGTGCTCAAAAGTACCTTCCATTCAGTTCTGATCTGAGAACAGTTAGTTTACCAGGATAGGAAGTGTGATTCCTTCACATTGCTAAAAAGTAGTAGCTGCCAGAGAACTGGGGGCTGTTACCCAAGAATCACAGTTTTCTTTAAGAACATATATGGGCTTGCACATTTACATGGGTCTATGCCCCTCCCTGTCGGCCTCCCCCTGAATCCATAGGAGGGAGAGCGGGCCCCAAGGCCTCAGTGCCCCCTGCTTCTGCTCTGCCCGTGAGGACGCACACACAAGGTCTGCCTCTGGCTCTATTCTGTCCCACCTCCTTCGCTTCCTGAGCTTGCTTTCTACAGAGGCAAATCTTTGGTTCCGAAGATAGTCTTTCCTGAGCAGCATCCTGTACACAGATAGAGAGTATGAGATAGTTAAAGGCATTGTAAGGACCTGAGTGAGGTGTGTGGATGGTGGTATCAATAAAACCGGGAAGTGAAAAAGTGATGACAAGTAGAATGATGGAAGAGCAGCTTCTCCCCAGAATGACGTGGGCAGCCACACACACTCCAGGATCACTCAGTATCTTGGTATGTGCTAACCAGAGGAACAGTGCAAATAATATTAAATAGCCTTGTCTGATTTGTTTGTAAGGAAAATGGCTTATGTATTCACTCCTCAGATTTACACCTCTCATCACTTTCATTCATCCCTTCTTTGGGCTCAACTTTTCTTTCCTTAAGGAGTGCAGGTGGTACAGTGTGTAAGGCTTGACTGCTAACCAGAAGGTTGGCAGTTCAAACCCACCAGCTGCTTTGCAGGAGGAAGATGAGGCAATCTACTTCCATAAAGATTTACAGCCTTGGAAACCCAGTGTTGGGGTCACTATGAGTCGGAACCAACTTGATGGCAGTCGGTGGGTTTCTTTCCTTATCTCACAGATAGTATTTCTCCTCTGACTGCAGATGTTTTAAAATGTACTCCTATCTCAGGAGTGTCCAGTAGCCTTCAGCCTTGCAATCTGGATAAAAATGACAGAATACTGAAAATATTATTTAGGAAGAACAGGAAGGAAGGTTGATTCCTGGTCAGGCTTAGTGTAAAACTCACTCTCCAACAATCATAGGAGCTCTGACGTGAATAAAGTGTTTTTAGACCCTAATGGTCAGAATGATACATATTTAATAGAAACAAATATTAAACTGTGGGCTCTCCCCCAATGAGAGAAAACACTGACTTCCGTGGTAGAATTGGAAAACTGGGTTTTTTACTTCATTCAGTGATCGCTGCTGCTGCTGCTGCTGCTGCTGCTGCCAGGTACCTTTTCTCTGGCAGTGCTGTATTCTCGTTTTCAGCCACTAGAGGGCAGTATCACATTGAGTCAGACACCCACAACACTTGAAGGTTTCCTGCCCATTAACGGCTCATGTTTACTAGCAACAGTTGTATTTAAAAGGAGAGGCTCATTCAGAAAAATACTTAGCAAAAAGCCTCCTTCTTTTCTTCTAAAAATTTTGCTGCCACTTCCTTATATGAAATTTTTCTTGGAAACTTAGTTGCCCAGAAAAAGATTGCTTGTTTGATTTCTGTGTCTTAATTGGTTCAGCCAGTAAATATTGGTTGAATACCAACTATATGTCTAGCCCAAGTGGGAAAAGAACATTGAGCAAATTGGGCAAGTTCCCTGTTCTCAGGGAGCTCACGGAAAAGACTAAGGAAGTAAAAGAAAAATGGAAAAAGTTTTGAAAGTGGAAATACAGGGTGAATAGAGAGTCTGGTGAAGAGATGAAAGGAAAGTTCCCTGAGGAAGTGATATTAAGGGTGAGTAACAGTGAAGGACAAACCATGAGAAGCAGGTAGTGTTCCAGGCAGAGGAAACAGCCTACATGGAGGTTCACTTCAGAGAGAGAATCCAGATGTGCCAAAGGCAACAAAATGAAGTCCACTGTAGTTAGAAGATAGATTTCAAGGGCAGGAATGGTGTAAGGTGGACTGGGGCCTGGAACCCACTGGTGGAGGACCTGGCATACCATATTGTGAGCTTTTAGCTCTAAGCCATACCTCTTCTCCATATTGTTCCTCCCCTATGTATCCCACTTCCTGGCTTCCTCTTCACACCTAAGTTTTTCCCAGTTGGTGTCTGTAGTTCTCAGAATACCAAAAGCCTACATTAACTTGCACCATGTGGTTGTCTTTTTTTAGTGAGAATACCTATCAGATTATAGTTCTCATGGTGCTAGGTAGAGTGACCATACCTCCTGCTTTGCCCAGACCTGAGCCAGCTGATGCCTGCCTAAATAAGGCATTTGACTGCTAACCAGAAGGCTGGCAGCCACTCCTCAGAAGGAAGACTGGGCAATCTACTTCTGTAGAGATACCACCTTGGAAACCCAAAGGGGGTTGCTATGAGTCAGAATAGACTCGATGTTAGTGAGTTTGGGTTTTTTTGGTTTTTTTTTCTGTTATCACTCTCAAAATCCCTGTTTGGATGATAGCACTTATATTTACCCGAGTCACAGAGAGATGCTTTGTTAGAGACTGCAGAAAAAGTCCACCCCACTGACCAACTTAACCACTAAGTTAGGTGAGCTATGTAACTCGCAATACAGAAATTATACAGCACACTCTGATTTTAATGGCCTAGAAAGTCATTGCCAAGTATAAAATACTTTTTTCTTTCCTCTTCCTTACATTAGATTTTTGAAAGTCATTGTCTCAAGGTAACCTTTCCATTTTGTAAAAAAAAAAAAATACCTACCACACAGATGATTCCTTATCTTGTTTGCCTGATCTGGTGGTTCTTCCCCAGTGCTTCCAGAGAAGGACAGGTTTGCAATTTTTAGGCCGTCCCTAAACTTTCTCGCAATTGTCTGCTACCTTCTATTCCTGTGTCTGGGTGTTCTTTAGGTATTACAGATTTTATGCCATTTTGATCCTCTGTGATCAAAAAACAAGTATCTCAGCTTTATGACTCTGTTGGTTTCTCTTCCACTTTTAATCCCTAAAAGAGAAGTTCCCAAGCCAGAATTTAGTCCTCCAATTTACCTTGCTGATGACATCTGTGCAGCTACCCTTTCTGACGTTCAGAATGTAACTTAAAATTCTTAATCAAATACCTTAAGTTCCTTTGAGAGCAGTGCTTTTCCTTCCATATTTGGTCTTGCATTGCCTGGCACAGCATGTGGTGTGTGGTGAAGGTGACCTCTGACCACTGGCCTCTGCTGCTTACTGTGCAGTCTGTTAGAGACAGAAGTACCCAAGGGTGTCCTTATTTTATCTCACCTCAAATCTCCCTTCCTAGTGAGAAGGCTGTGTAGCTAAGTCCTCCTGTGTCCACTGTAGAAAATGAGCCATGTTTCCCGAAGGACCAGAATCAGAAACTTTCCGACTTGGGTCAACTCCCTTTTCCCAGTGGCACTTTGCAACAATGGTTCTTGCTTTTTCCAGGATGACAGACGTGTATAAAATAAATGCCTTCCGAGTCCTGATTTCAGTGTCTTCTACTCTTGCCTTGGCCCTCTGTCCTCCGACAAAGGGGAGTTCAGTAGCCCATATTTCAGATTCACGAAGGAAGTCCATTCCATTGCAGGGTGATTACAGGAGGCCTTGGCTCTCCTAGGAATCAGAACTACATCTGCAGCAATTAGCCTGTTAGCCGGGCATCTATGGGGTTTGAGTGTGGACATAGCCAGGAGAAACTCAGCATTCTGTTTTATATCCTTCTCAGTATGGATTTCCATCCACAGTGAAGAATGTTTTAAGAAGCTTGATTACTATAAAGGGAGGAAAAAACAATATCTTAACTTGTTAAACTACCATAACCACATCCTATTATGTGTAAATGGTTGGAAATGCGCTGCTTGTCTTTGTGGGTAAAAACTGATACATGATGACGACACTGGTGAAAAACACAAGGATGAATGAAGAGTTTATTCACAGTTTATACATCCTAGTGTTTCCAAAATTAGCATATTTATGGTTAGTTGGAGACCTACACGTCTTACTTTGTTTAAATTAGAGTTTTGTTTTCTCTTTGTTTTATTTTCAGTACAGCGGGAAGGTCCTCCACCAAGGAATGGAGCATGCGATTCCACCAACAGCCAGCAGGTGGCAGTAGTGGGTTATTTCCTCCCCCGGTCTTAGCTGGCAGATTGGCTTGTGCTCAGAACAAACTGGGATCAGACCCGGATACTAAGACCATGCAGAATCTTATTATTTGTGACTGACGCTATTAGAAATGTGATCAGAACCATGTTTTAACCAGCTAGGGGGAGCTGCCAAGGCCTATTGCAACCACCCAACGGTCTCTCCCTTAGTCCTCCGATATTGCTTCTCGTTTGCAACCTGAAATTGGTAGGAAACAAAGAATGATCCTGGAGTTGCGTCATCTCTGGGACTTTCAAACGAAATTACAACCATGCCAGGCAATATGTCTTTTGCCTTGCAATTCTTTCCTGCCGAATTAATCTCATTCTACACACTTTTTTTTTTTTTCCCTTCCCAGCTCCCACTCTTCCTTGCAACAAAAAGGAGCAAAATGAAATCCTAAGCCTTAAAAATTTGATGTGCTCTTTGATTTAGAGATAAAGCCAGCTCAAATGTAATTTTTAGCAGACATAAGATAATATAAATTGGTCCCTCTCAATAGAAAGTTGCCTTGACAGGTCTGCTGGTACCTTGTTTGAGCAGCTAAATCAATTATCTTGTTATTGAACCTTATGAGCCTTATGAGTCATATAAGTGATCCTATTAGACTATACTTTTATGTGTGTGCATTTTGCTGGCAAATTATCAGTCTTATGTCTTGGGATTGATATTTATTGACAATTAAAATGGGAACTATTGAAAATCAGTTCTTGCCTAGTATGAGGCAGTGGAGAGCTTTTCCCATGATTTCATTGACATTTGAAGACATACCCAAATTTGAGGTTTTTAAAGTAATAAGTATACATTTTTATTTAATTTATCCTAGAATATAAAGCGCTTAAGATAGTTGCAAAGGTGGAAGAGGTCTTTAGTTCCCAGGTAAATACACCTTTATTGACCTCATTTATCATGTTTGATCTGATAGTAAAAGAGGAGGCCAGATGGTCCTTCAATGGTCTTTTTCATTCTAAGATTTTTGTGAAACATATTTTCAAGAGGAGTAGGTGGTATAGGAAAAATAAATGTGCTATTTTGGCTTCTACAGAGGGTAGGAGGAAAGCAATTATTTTTAGAATATGTTCTACTTGCATCTAGTTTTAGAAGAAATAGAAAAGTGTATTTTAATGAAGTCTATAAAAGTGCATCTTTCAAATCCTTGTCACTGTGATCTCAGTGGGCACATATGTAATTAAAGAGAGTGTGTGTGTGTCTGTGTGCGCACATGCACATGCATGTGTGTCTGTATGTGTATTCCTACACATATATGGCTGGGGTGATGAGGGCAGGCACAGATTAGCAAAGTTTCACGACTAAAAAGTAGTTAGATTTTAATTCACTATTTGTGTAGAAATGCTGCCAAATTTAGCATTCCTTATTGAGGGGGAGCTACAGAGGGAAAATAGTTGGAAAGTAGGAAATGATTAAAGACACAATGTAATCAATTAGGAACAAAAATATATTGACTTACACTTTTAATCTAATAGCAAGGGATTAAATGGATAAGATAAATGAAATGTTTGCCAAAAAATTGTAAGTTTTGCTGCAGCAAGAAGAGGAGCCCTGGTGAAGCAGTTGATAAGGCATTCAGCTGCTAACCAAAAGGTCAGTTGTTCAAACCCACCCACCACCCCATGGGAGAAAGATGAGGCCGTCTGCTCCCTTGAAGATTTGCGGCCTTGAAAACCCTATGGGGCAGTTTACTCTGTCCTGTGGAGTTGCTATGAGCAGAATCAACTCTACGACAGTGGGTTTGGTTTTATCTATGTCTATATAGCAAAACCTTAGTGTTGAAGGCTCTGCCCTGTTTATGTGTTGGTTTGTTTCAAGAGTTAAATATTCTTATAATCGGATAGTTGTTGTAATGTAAGCCATGAGAAAGAAGAGTCCCTACAATGTGGAATAAACATGTTTATCTGAGTCCCAAGGGAGTTCTTTGACATGGACTTCGTGTGCCATGGCGTCCTCTACCCCCCTTGCCAATGATTTGATTAAATCTGTCAACAGCCTTCACATTGTAGTCCATACACAGGATACAAGTGGTTGGATGCTCAGGGAATTTTTAATAAAAATTGCCTTTCATTCATTAAATACTCTAGGTATTTCAACAAATAACAATTCTGGTTATGAAAGGAGAATTTCTATACCCAGAACGGTTCCTCCCAATGTATTAAAAACGGCAGCACCAGTTGAGGAGTTTGTATGTCAATTTGATAAAATACATAGCTACTATAATATCAATTTAATTCGTTTAAATGCAAAAAAAAGTAATAAGTCCCCTCATATGGGAACTCCTTTGTGGTTAGGGTTGTTGGTTCTGTTTTTTATGTGGTTTGAAGGCTTTAAACAAACAAAATTTCCAACATCTTCTTTCTCCTCTCCTTCAGTTCCTTAGGACAGTCCTCATCCCCAACATCCATGTCCCTCCTTCCTTTCACTCTCTTGCCTCACACAGACGTATGTCTATTCATTGTTCTTTCTTCATTGCACACCAACTGAAGTGGGTCCCTGCTTAATTATTATCTCAATACTGAACATCTGCATTGTTAGCTTTTCATTTGTGATTTGTGGAATACATTTCTCATGTGAAGGCAGAGGTAGGGTAGGAGGGAGATAAGTTTAAAACCCCGGCATTTTTTAATTTATATATCCATCTATCCATCTGTTTTGGTTACCTTGTGCTGCTCTAACAGAAGATACCACAAGTGGGTGACTGTAACAAACAGCAGTTTATTCTCTTACCATTTTGGAGGCTAGAAGTCCGAGTTCAAAGTGCCAGGCTCTAGGGATTGGATGAAAACCTCTTGACCTTGGGGTCCAGCTCTGCCTCTAGCTCCCGGCCCACTGGAGCTAGAGGCGTTTCTTCACTCAGACACCTGCTGGCTGCTGAGGCTGACAAATCTAAGGTCGACAAGTAAAACGGCACAGTCCCAGTACTACCAAACCATACCACAGGCCATTGATTCAAATCCATTAAGAGGCCCAAGATCGACAGAGCATGGCAGACTACTGAATGAAGACATGCAGGGTCCAAGCATGCCAAAAGGCTGTAGACCATTCCTAAAGCTTCTTATATACTGGGAACAGACCACATCCCTAAGGCAGCTACTCAGCTGCTCACAGTAGATTCCACCATGGAGTTGTTTACTAGTCTCATCAAGGGAAATAACTACCACTAGCTGCCCAGCCACTCAAAACCAGACTCAGCCAAACTGACACATGACCTTAACTACCACACCAGCGAAGAAACATTTATTAAATGACCAAGGCGCAGGCCCCATGCTAGGTGCTGATGGTCTAGCGGTAAACAAGAGTTCTCTGCTCTCAATCATGGAGCTTCCAGGCTGTGGGAAGAAACTAGATAGCGTACTAACCCCTGTAGACACACTGTCTACTTTAATCCTCGTGACTGTCCTCTAAACAAGCCACTTTATACAGAGTTTAAGTATATTGTAAGAACAAAATATAGTCCTTCGAACGAAGTCCTCACACTTGACCTTGCTGAAGCTTTGATGCTGCTGTCCACGCCCATCTTGAGATGTAGCCTCATGTGGGTCTAAACTACCGTGTCCCACGTGTACAGTCCATACCCCCTCCCATGGCTCCCAGCTGCTCCACCTTCTCCCCCATTATGCAGTTCATTCTCAGGATGTTGGGTTCTCCCAGGTACTGTCTTTGAACTTTTTCTATACTTTTCAACCAGCATATCCCCATCTCAGGTGATGTCCTATTTCCAGTGATCCATTGGTGACTTATTTATCTTTGTAGCACTCTCTCGGTCCTAGAGTAAAGTGGTTGCTGGTAAATGCTGGATCCCTGAATTCTTTCCTTTTCCCATGGGGAGTCTGCCTGAGGCAGCTGAGCTCTTTGAATTCCATGGGTTTCTGAGAATCACAAAAGTGGCCTGGCCCTGAGTCCACCAACATCACACCCTCAAAATCAGCCATGATACCATTTCTTCCTCTTCCTGTAATGTTTACCCAACCCTTGTGCCCTGTCTTTCTGCTTCATCAGTACTACATTACTACTGGAGTGTCTGGCATTATTTTAGCTAATATTCATTGAGTTTCCTAACTCAACTCTATTTTTCTGAGGTCATGGAAGCTTTGCTTCTGTTACAAGTTTCATAAAGACAGGTGTAAGGAATGTAGCATATCTGTCAATAGACATGTTGGACTGCTTTAATTTTCCGGAGGAACCCTCATCAGGTAGCAGGTAGTCTTACAGGCTTTGGAGAAGAGAAACCAGATTAAAATCCACATTTTATTTAGGTGGGTAGCTTTGGGCAAGTTACCTCTCTTTTTTAAACCTCTTTTCCTGCATCTTTAAAATGAGGTTAGCATTGATGGTTGCGAGGATAGAATGAGATTCTTCATGTAAACTGCTTAGTGTACCGCCTGACATATAGTGAGTACTCAGTGAATGCTGACTTTTGTTGTTATGAAGGTGCCGCTATTTTGAATGAGCAGCTGTGGAAGGGAAAAAAGTCAGATGAGAGTGGGAGGCATAATTCTTTTTTCAATAAGTCAGAAGGTTGACTCCTACCTGTTGAATAGGAGGATATAGTTCTTACAGTCTGCTCTCTTACTTGCTTTAAAAGAAGTTATTTATTGGAGACTCTGGGGTTCAAAACATGAAAAAGGTCCAAGTAGTTGACATTATCAGCCTCTCTTATATGTCACACACAGCAGCTGGCTGAGGCAGCCCATATGAGGACTAAATTTTTCGTTATTATTGTTGTTAGCTCCTGTCAAGTCAGTGTCCAATTCCTGGCGACCCAGTGCACAACCACATGTTGTTCCCTCCTGTGACATCCCCATGATTGGCTACAGATGGGTCCGTTGTGATCCACAGGGTTTCCATTGGCTCATTTTCAGAAGTGGACCGCCAGGGCTCTCTTCCTAGTGTGTCTTAGTCTGGTGGCTCCACAGAAACCTGTTCAGTGTCATTGCAACATGCAAGCCTCCGCTGATGGATGTTGGCTGCCCATGAGGTGTACTCGCTGGGAAGTGAACCTAGGTCTTCTAGATAGAAGGCAAGAATTCCATAGGCTGTGACATGTACCAAATACAATTTACGTTCCATTATTCTCATCTTTTTCTGATTGTATTTGTTTGCTGTTTTTCATGTCCTGTCTCTGATCTGCAGATGATCAGTACATGGCAGATATATGGCAATATCTTCTCCAGAAATTCTCATCAAGTGGTAGAAAAGCAAGTAATAGAATTGTTTCTGCCCCTCTTTTGAAGCACATTCAGACTCTCAGGGCTGTGTCAAGGGCGCAAGACTAGGAAAGCCTTTGACACAGTGTGTGTCTCAGACAGCCCTGACTCTGTTTTCCTCTTCAGGACCTACAAATAGAACAAGAGAGGAGTTCATATAACATATCTGGCGGCTGCACAGCACTCATCGTGATTTGCCTTTTGGGGAAGTTATATGTGGCCAATGCTGGGGACAGCAGGTAAGCCATTAGCCTTCTACTTCTTCCTAATTTCTAATGTCTTTTAATAGTTTTAAACTCTTTTTTGAAATTTCGTATGATTAAATATAAAAATAATTCTGCTTGGGATTAAATACTGGAAAAGACAAGCCTTCTACATGGGAATAAAGATGTGTTTAAGAATAATCAGGTTGGTATTAAAAGGTAAAGGCAATTCATGTATTTATCTGTGATTAACTTGGGGTCTCCACGAGATGGAATTGACTCAACAGAAACTAACAACAGTCCAAACCAGTAATTTTCTGACTTTTTCTGGCTGAGAACCTGTTTTCAACGAAAGCTCAGCAAAGGCATGATGTATGGGAGAGCTGAAGGTAGGAGTAGGGGTTTGGAATGAAGCGGGTGTTTGGAGGGGTCTCCTGGAGGATGCCACCAACTGGGTCTGCCTGGCTTGTTCCACTTGAGCTTAGTGACTTTACACTGCCCCCTCCTGGAATCCCAGGAGATTTTCCTTTTATGCTCACATCCTTAACAGCTACAGTCTCCCCTCTTTTGGGGTTCAACTAAGGGAATTTTGGCCGAGAGATTATCATTAACTCTTATTTTATTCAGCTTTGTCGGGGAATAAGAAAAGCTTGTATATTCATTTTAAGTAACAGTCCTTTATTATAGGTGCAGAGAATTTTTTAATTACAGACTTCATGAATAATTTTTTGAATATGTATCACACAGCTCTCTGCCTCTTTAGTAACGAAATCTCATGGCTATATAATGGGAGACCTTTTCCTGGAGACTGACTCTATTCTGAAAGTAATGAAAGTACCGGACTCTGAACAGATGTCCTGGGAGAATGAGTCATGTCGCTGTGCGGCTGCAGTCTTGCCTGCTCTGATTCCACTTTCCCCTCCCATTAGGTCACCTGCGTCTTCTCCCTGCTTGCTCTTGAGCAAATTCCAGTCCCCTTCCCCTGTCTCTCCTCGGTCCCCTGTCTCCAGCTCAGGTTGTTGCTGCTACTTCTGCAGCTGAAAGACTGACTCCCTGGAGGCAATCAAGGAAATCACCTAATTTTACTTCTACTTGCAAAGCAGGAGACTTGCACCTGGGGAAGTGTCCCTCCCTTTGTCCTGGTAAAGCATCCTTTCCTGGTCTTTCTCATTGAAGATTCCAGAGAGCATAGGAGAGTGAACTGCTCAAACAGCCACATTCTGGGGTTTGGAGATTGGTGTTTTTTGAAGGTCAATTTATTTTAAAACTATATGTGAATTTTCCATTCTATTCTATAAAACATCTCAGATTTCAATATAAAAATATGCCAAGTAAATTGAAGGGTGTATCAGATGTTGTGTTGATCCCTTGACCCAATATGTGTTCATGGTCGTATGAAACAGGAAACAGATTCCAACTCACATGGGTTCAACTGAATGGAAGGGCAAAAAGGAACCAGCCTGGAGTGCTGAGGCACCCAGGAAGAAGCTTACCATCCCTACCCCTGCACAGACCAAGGGAGGAAAAGCTATTAGCAGAGCAGGAGAGCAGGAGCCACTGATAAGGGACCACTGAGCAAGAGCCACAGAAGAGAATGGGGAGAAATACTATGACTTCTCTCTTTTCCTGCCCTCCTGTCTGTTGCCAGGCTTCCCATTGGATGAACCCTACTGGAAGCCTGCCTATAGGGTTGCTGGTCCAGGAAATGCCATTCACAGAGGTCAGCCTGCTAGGGCACAGCGCTGGGCCCATACTGCATCTCGTGAATGGGCTAGTGGAAAATAACCTTCTTCCTCCCTGCCTTGGGATTTGATTACCTAGAAATAGGAATCTACATTCTTTAAGCTTTTTAAATGTACGGTGAGAAACCTTCTGGACCTCTTGTTCTTTTCTCCATCTTAAGCTTGTTGGAAAATAGATGAGCAGATAAGGAGGCCATTTCTTTTTGTTCCTACTGACCTGATAATTAAGCTGTTGTACTTTTGTCATTATGTGTCGGTGTCCTCTAAAATGAGCTTGCTTTTCTGGCCCTTCTAGTAACTGAATGCCCGGCTCTCTGGGTTGTAGCCCCACCCCTCTTTTCCAGTGAAGCCCCTCTGGTCAGCCTTGGAAGTAAACCTGACTTATGTGCCCAGAAATCTGTATGATAGATTGTCCTTTTCAGATACCAGCTTCTCCCAGGTACCTGTTCCTCATTTTTCAACATAGGTACCTTAAGGCTTCTACACTCCTTAACAGAGCCACCTACCCATCAAGGACTTTGGATCCTGGGTCCCAGCAGCTCTGCCTGTCCCAGGTGTTCATCTTCAGGCGGCTGCCTTAGTCCTCCCTTCAATGCCAATCTCCATGCCAGACCTCAATTTCCTCATCTGTAAAAATGGAGTGTTGGATTAGATAATCTCTAAAATCTGTCATTCTAAAGATTGTTCTATAGAAAAATGACATCTCTGAAAGTTAGTAAATTAGTTACATTTGTAGTACTCTGGCCCCAGATATTAATGTGTGGTTTTATGGCTGTTTGGTTTAGCTGTTAACTTACAGATTGCATGTTCTCTTAGAAACCAAAGAGCAATATGAGGTGGTATTTATAGCTCTGATAGCATACTGCCTAAGGCATTTGACTGCTAACCAGAAGGCTGGCGGTTCAAATCCACCAGCCACTCCTCAGAAGGAAGGTTGGGCAATCTACTTCCGTAGTGATACTGCCTCGGAAGCCCAAGGAGGGATCGCTATGAGTCGGGTCAGACTCAATGGCACATAACAACAATAGCAACAACCAAAGGGTAACTAATAGAACATTTAATCATTAGGATGCTATTTTCAGCTCTTGTATCAACAATAGATAATTGATATCATCTTATATGGGATCTTTGCCTAGTTTACATACTAATAATATGTTATGAGTATTTCAATTGGTTAAAATACTCAGTTATTCCCAAGAAATACCAGCTATGACTATCTCTGTGTAAATGAAGGTCCATTCTCAGTTTGGATGTTACCTGAAAAATGCCGGGGTCTGGCCATGGAGTGGCACAGCCAATAGAGCACACCAGAGTTCAGGGAGAAGAGAGTTTAATTAGGAGATATACCAGTGAGGATGGACGAGGTCCCATGACTCCAAAAACTCACGCTCTGCTCAGTGCTTACAATTAGGTTCTTAGACTAAAGGAGAGACACAGCATATATGCAGGATTAGTTAACAATTTTCCAAAAATTAGATAGGATAATGGATAATTAAGAAAGGAATGTTTCCTGTGAGTCCCCGGCAGTCAGGCTCCATTGGTGTTTGTTAAAGCCCACGGGGGCAGTCCTAAAGTCTGGCCCAGGAGCCTTTAATTGACATAGACGTCCCTGTCTTAGATCACAGAATGCAGCAGGAACCGATAACTTACAGAGAGAACAAGTTAATTATAACACAGGTTAAAGCCAGATTTGGAAAGAAAGGGCATTTTAACTAAAAGTAAGGAGTTTTATTCTAACAGTATGGAGTCAGGCTTAACAAAGCAAAAAATCTTTATCCTCACATGGACAAACAGTTATGAATCCAAAGACTCAATTTAAACAAATGATTAGAGTTGATAGAAGATTCCAGCAACAGGGCCCTAATTAATTAAGTGCTAATTTTTCTCCTTTATTGTCAGATATGGGAGCTCTGGTAGCATAGTGGCTAAGGCACTTGGCTGCTAACCAGAAGGCTGGCGGTTCAAACCCACCAGCCACTCCTCGGAAGGAAGATGGGGCAATCTACTTCCGTAGTGATACTGCCTCGGAAACCCAAGGAGGAGTCGCTATGAGTCAGGTCTGACTCCACAGCACATAACAATAACAACAACAACATTGTCAGATATTGGCTGCTGTATGTTTACATTAAATCTTTGACAGTTTTGAGAGTGAAAGTAAATATTATACATTCACACTCAGGAAAGAGAAGCTTCGCACTGGTTTGATTTGGAAGCTACTGGTAGTCAGGAAAGGAGCACTGGGGGGGCATAGTGGGTAAGGCATTTGGCTGCTAACCAGAAGGTCAGTCGTTCAAACCCACCAGCTGCTCTGTGGGAGGAAGAGGAGGCAGTCTAATTCCCTAAAGATTTACAGCCCTGGAAACCCAATGGGGGTCACTATGAGTCAGAATTCACTCAATAGCTGTGGATTTAGTTTGCTTTGGTAGTCAGGAAAGGAGCTCTCGTGGTATAGTGGTTAAGGCATTTGACTGCTAACCAAAAGGTCAGTGGTTCAAATCCACCAACTGCTCTGTGGAAGAAAGATGGGAAGTCTCCCATAAAGATTTACAGCCTTGGAAACCCAACCGACTCTCTGTGAGTCGGGACCTACTCCATGGTGGTGACTTTCGTTTGTGTTTTTCGGTAGGCAGGAACTATTTTCTAGTAGCATCTGATTTACCATGAAACATACATGTATCAGGCATTGTGTTCCTGAAAGAAGGATCCCTGGTGACATAATGATTAAGCTAAACTTGGCTGCTAACAAAAAAGTTTGTGATTCAAACCCACCGGTGGCTCCATGGGGAAAAATCTGGACTATCTGCTCCCATAAAAATCACGACTAGGAAACTATCGGGAGCTCTGGTAGCGTAGTGGCTAAGGCTCTTGACTGCTAATCGGAAGTCGGGCGGTTCAAACCCACCAGCCACTGCTCTGAAGGAATATGGGGCAATCTACTTCTGTACTGATACTGCCTCGAAAACCCAAGGAGGAGGTGATGAGTTGGGTCCAACTCAATGGCACATAACAACAACAACAACAGCAACAAGGAAACCCTTTGGGGGCAGTTCTGCTCTGCCCTATAGGGTCACTATGAGTGGAATTGACTTGACAGCGCACACACAGCAAATAACATCCTGGAAAAGATAGCCTGCTTCTTTAAGCTTTTTGAAAAAAAGTTGGACAGAGGGAAGTTTTTAAGACAGTGACCCTTCAGAGTGTGGAATGGTCCACAGTAATGTCGGTGACTGACCTACTGGTTTCTAGTCAACAGACTCATTCTTCTCTCCTCTGTTGACAGCAGACACAAAGGCA